AGCCCCGTGGCTCTGGCCCAAATGAGAGGAAAGCACCCTGGGGAGTGGGAGGTGGAAGGAGATGATGCACAGCCCTGCCTGGCAGCCGCTCAAGTGGCCAAGAGCTGGCAGGAGCTGAGCTGCTTGCCTGTGCCAGCGGGGACACCTGGGTCACTCACTGCCTGTCCATGACACTGTTATGGATCAGCCCCCTGGCCCAGCTCTCTGCCCCCTGCCTCTGTGCACACTTTGAGTTTTTTACTACCCCATATTTGGGTGCCTTTCTGCAGACCCTGGAAGAGTACACGAGTCCCACAGGACCAAGAGGAGCTCTGAGCCCTGCTGACTGGGCTGCCAGGCTCCTCTCTCCAGGCAGAAAAATCAGATTTTGTAACAAGTAGCAAACACCCACACACGCAACAGCAAGTTCCCCAGCCTCCCTGGTGGAACAAGTGCCAGGGTCTGTCCCTTGGAGAGTGACCAGTGGACTCACCACAGAGTGATGGAAGAGCAACTCCCAGGACTGGTGAAGTTTCTGATTGCACAACATGTCCACAAAGTCTTCAAGAAAATAACCTGGGAACAGAGAGGCTGTGAGCAAAGAAGCGGAGCCAGGAGGGGCCATGCCAAGGCACCCACCCAGAGCAGGCTCTGCCCCTGACTGGGCTGAGCAGCACCTCCCGGGCATTGATGGCCACAGCTCAGCCCCAGTCCTGTGTGGGTGGCGAGTTACGCACAGACCAGGACCACACGCAGCACGGAATTGCTGTGTTTTGGGTACCTCCTGCAGTTGCTCTACAGGATGTGCTTCTAGGGAGAGGCGTTAACTAACTGACCACTCGGATCCGTTCCAGAAGAAGGGAGAGAGCGGAGGCAGCATGTGGACCCTCACCCATGTTACTGTCCCAGGATCAGATCCCACCCCATGTCCTTTCAGTCTGGAGCCCTTAATAGCTGCAGGATTCGCTGCCACCAAACCAACCCCTCGTCGGCACTTTAGATACTCAAACCTCCTTGCTGAGCTGTAGCCATGCTGGGAAGCCCGTGAGCACTGACCACAGGGCTGGTGACAGATCTGCAAGAAGGTGACAGGGGAGTGGGGAGGAAAGGCTCCACACAGCCAGAAGACTCCTGGCCTCCACAGTGGCAGGTTTAGCTTGAGGCTTTGGGGGGATCTGCATTGACCCGCTATCATGGGGACCTTTTGAACGCTCCAAGCCCTGGCTGCCCCATGAGGATGGTGGCAGGCAGCCTGGTGCCCAGTACCTCCTGGCTGCGGGTGCCGTGGGACAGAAAGGAGCCACTGTCCTTTGCCAAGAATAGGGCGATTGTCTGGGCTGCCTGAGGCATTGCTGCCCACAACGTGGCTCGAGGGGCTGGTGTCAGGCACCGACGAGCCCTTGGAGACCCCCCGGGGGGCAGAACAGGGGGCAGCCCACTTCCCTGGACTCACCTACGGACACGGCGACCAGGCTGTGTGCCCCAGGCGGGTGTGTGCCCACCAGGTCTTCGGACATCTCAGGGTGGAGGCAGAACCTGTGGGGAGAGGGGCTGGGAGCGCTGGGCAGTGCCTCTTGTCCCCCAATTCTC